GAGACATTTGCTGGTTGGGCGGCCCAAACTCCATAAACACCGCCTTGCCCGACACGGGGCTGTTGAGACTTTCTGGCATGGTGGTCATGGTCATCTCTTCTCGCGGGGTCTGGGTGTGGGTCTCTCTCTCCTCTGCTTCCCTTTTGGGGGTCTCTATGTTTCTCAGGACAGGAAGGAACCCAATTTAAGCGGAACAGGGGTTTTCACTTTCCATTCATAAGAAAATGGAGTTTGTCTCTTTGAAAAGTCTAAGCATGATGCTGCGGAGCTCCCCAAACTCGCTTCAAAGCTTTGACTCAGCCAAGGTCATAAATATTCATGAGCTGGCGGAGCTGATTGGTCCGCTGTCTTGCATAATCATCGGGGATTGGTCCGAGGGGCTCCGGCTCCGCTGGACTAGAGCGGGCGAGGCGGCCCGGCCTCGGGAGAGACGCGTCCACGCTTCCCGGCCGGGGCTCCTCTGCAACAGAGCGCGCCGTGTGGGGCGCACAATGGGCTGCGGCGCCCGCGCCGGGACCTCCGCGGCCCGCGATTCTGCAGCCTCCCGCCTCCCCGGCGCGCCTACTTCCCAGAAACCAACCAGCGTCTCGGCACCGCCGCCCTCCCCTCTACCACCCCCACCCTCCGCCTGCCCCCAACACCCGGGACCCGGGCACCGCTTCTCCTAGCCGCCGCCGCCGGGTCTGGCGCGAACTGGGGCGGCTCTGAAGCCTGGCCGCGGCCTCCCCAGCGCGGAGTCGCGCACGGGGGGGCGCCGGAGGCGGGCAACAGAGCGCAGTCCTCCCGAGCGTCTGGTGCCTGGCCCAGCGCTCTCTTGGCGGCGCCTCCCTGGCCTGGGTCCGCTCTTCCGCATCCCTGGGGTCGGGTTTGGGGCCCTCCGGGCGAACTCACTCACTCGGCCGCCGCGCCGCCGACGCCGCTCCCTGGGGCCCGCTCGCATTGCTCCAGGCCCAGCTGGCCACTCCAGCTCGAGGCTGCACTGGTCTGATTAAAGCAGTGAGCGCGGAGAGCCAGGAACCCGCGCTTCTCCTCCCAGGAAAGGCGGCCGCACCGCCCCCTCCCCCCAACACACCCCCTCTTTCCCTCCCAACCTTTCTCCTCCCCCTCTCCTCTCCACTCCCTCTGCGCCGAGCGCCCGGGGTTCACTCGCCCCAAGGGCGCGGCGCAGCGTGGGGCCGAGGAGCCGGCGGGCTCAGTTCTGCTTGAGGCGAGGACGCCAAGTGGTCATTTTCTGGCCTCCTGGGGTCTGGCGAGAGTACCCGGGGTTTAGGAGTCCTGGGGGGCACCGAAACCCGCGGCAAAACAAGGCCAGTGATAGGCTCGCATATCCGTGTGTAGACGTGTCTCTCATTGTCGCCCAGGATCCTCCTCATCTCCAATGGTCAAAGCAGGTGCCACTGAGCCTGGGGGCAGGACTGGTGGAGGCAAAAGCCGCCACGGCGCCTTCTGTCTTCTGGGGCTCTAGGTACAGAAAAGCGTACAAAAGGCCCCGCCGCCACCACCACACAGCCACCTCCGCGAGGCGTGGCGCACCACGCTGGCTGCGAGGGGCTGTCGGTTCCCGGTCCTGCCAGCCCCACGGCGAATCCCAAATTACTTTGTTAGGTAATTAGGAAGTGTTGATAATTATTTCTTTCATAATTTAGCGGTGTGACGGGAACGGGGAAATGATCTTGTGAAAGTTCACACGTGCAGATGTATTAGTTACTGATTCATTTGATTAAATGGTAGTCTCAAGTGCTCGGATCCGCAGCTGAAGGCGCCCCATTAGCATAACACTGATGTTTAATTTTCATACGCATAATTAGCCATATATTTAACACTAATAGCAACATGCAGCCTTTCAGCGTTAAACAGCCCTGGATTTGATCTGGCCTGAGCTGAACCTTCGTCGATGCACCTTCCCCTGTCTGGAGTGCGCAATGATCACAGGACAAACCTCTGTAATCAAGCACATTTTGGCAGAGGGAACACCAATAAAAACGAACATTCAAAACAAATTACATCGGTACTGTCGTTACAGATATTAGTGGAAGGGGCTTCTCTCTTTTTTAACTTCTGTAGCAGCAGCTGCTGCCCACGGAATTCCTCTCCTTTGGTTTAAGGGCACGACGTTGGGGGTAGAAACATTTCAGGCAGCGTGGTTGGAGCAAAAAGAAAAACAAAAGCAAAAAAAAAAAAAGAAGAAGCAAAACCCAATCCTCCAAACCAATAACGGGTTTGCCAACGTTTAAAAGATTTTTTTTTCCTTAATCACCGAACCACACGGTGAGGCTTTGTAGCAACAACCAGCTAATGACTCCGCCACCAGACAACTCCCGGAGCCGCTGGACTCCTCTTGATTTCCTTGTTGCACTTGTGGTTTTAATTGCTCCTTCCTAGCGCCTGTTTTGGGGTTTGGAGTGCGGTGCAGTGCTCCCTGCACAGCAGCACGGATGCCGCCCGGGCCCCTGGTCTCCTGCGCGCGCCTCGCGGGCCCTGCCCACGTAAGTGATCGCGGCAGCTGGCGCGGGGTCGGGGTTGGGACCGAGGGAAGCAGGGCTGGCGACTCCCGGTGCTCAGGAGGAAAACCCGACGGCTGGGCCGCCCAGGGCCAGTTTATTCCAGGGAACTGAAGGGTGGGGGAAGGGGAGAGAGGCAGCCGCAAGTCACGATGGTCTCCAGGACCCTCCGTCAGTCCACATCTGGTGGGGGGATCCAAGCCTTTCGCAGCGCGGGGGACGGAGTTGGGTCCGGGGAACAAAGGACGTGCACGTGCCCCCTTGGGAAATGGTTTCAGAACCTTGCTTATTTTAGAAATGAATTAGACGTGGGCGAGGAAATACATACGCTCCGAAATTATTTCTTAGCTCCAGAGAAGCACGTCTGGGGAGGGGCGGCTGAGCCGGTGCCCTCGGGCACGGAGACGCCCGGCCTTGACTAGCTCTCAATGTGCGATCGTATCTCTCTGAACCTAGAGTGGATCCCTCCCACCCACTGGGGACACCTGTTCCGAAATGCCGGCTTACTTAGATCTTTGCCTGTCCCAACTTTGAGAGAAGACAAAACTCTCCCATTCATCCTGAGAGTCCGGATTCCGAGTAGAACCTGTTGTAGACACCACAAGACGGGGCGCGTGGTGGTGTTAGCCGTAGCCATGCGTGGGTTGGAATCCCGGCAGCCCTGGGTGAGATTTGGGGCCAGTTCAGCCGGCGGTGAGGGGTAGGGGGCGTGGACAAAGTATTTTAAAATCTACTTCCTAACTTAACTTCAAAGCGTGTTAAATGGAGTTCGTTCTAATTCAAGTCTGTTTTCTATGGAGCTGCTAAGTATTGGCTGGTGCTGGTATCTATACATATATATATGTATGATGTTTAAACTTTAGGTTAGTTGCTTTCACAAATGGGATTATAAACCTGCCCCATAAATACCTCCATCTCGGAATAATTGCTGCACAATCAATATGTTATCCTAGTGGTTGATAAGATCCGGTGGTCCTAATAAAAATATTCTTGGGGAACCTCGGAGTCAACTGATCCGTAGATAAGATACGGGGCTAACTGTTGCAATGAGATTGCTCTAGGAGAGAAGTGAAGTCATTCTCCGGCAAACCTCTCCTAAGGGCATCCGGGCCTTGTTCCCCTTGTTCCCCTCTAGATAATCCGGATTGTTCCGGGGCAGCAGCCTCAGTATTTAGGCCTTTGGGTGGCCAACCCTTGAGCACCCCAGAAGTTTTTCTACAGACCTTATAAATCTCAACCCCTCCCTCGTTCTCTCCAGCTCTCAGATCCACTAGAATCGGAATCACCTCTGTCCGGATTCTACATACCTGGACGCAGAGAAAGGGAGGTGGTCAGGAGGGAGGACAAATTCAGGGAGAAGCTCGAACTAGCCAGTTCGTCAGGCGTGCTCATTGGCCTCAGTTTCCCATCTCTTTCCCCTCCACTCTGAGTGTCACAAAGACGAGCTGCCTCTTGGGTCTCCATCACAGAGGCCATCTGTCAAGGCAGCTACAGGTGCCCATGTTTCCTTGGCGCTCTAGATCCCAAGCTATATTTAGTGGGTGGCAACTTTGCAAAACCCGCTTTAGTAGAAACGGGAATCAGCACAACCATTGACTCCCGGACACCCTCACTGGACTTATTCCAAAAACCATGACGGGAGAGAGACTACTTTCTACGTGGCCTGCTAGAGACCCAACCCCTCTCCCACCTGGATCCAGGTGTGAACAGGTCCTAGGGAGCATGCAAGGGAAGGGAGGGTACTCTGGGCAGGAATAGAATGCGGGCCCTTGAATTTCTTGCTTCTGAAGCAGATTGAGCTGCGGGCGGGCAGAACCGCACCAGAGTTAAACGCGCTCCAATCTCGGCTGATTAGGCCCTTGCTGTCAAAAGTTCCCCTATGTCCTCATAGTGGAATCCTCTGGGTCTCCAGCGCGTGAGCTCGGGTCGGAAGAGGGCCAGTATGGGGAGAGGTCAGTTTAAGGGCTAGATCGGCCGAGACTGTTCACATCTGGGCGGAAGGGGCGGAGGCGCCAACTCGTAGTGCAAAAAAACGGTCTAGCGTGGGGCGGCGGGGTGGGGGTGGGGGTGGGGGTGGGGGTGGGGGTGGGGGGTGTTCTTAAAAGTAACCTCTGGAGGAGGAGGAGGAGCCGCAGGAGACCCGGAACGTTTTTGGATTGATCAAGCCCAGCAGAAGGGCCAGGCCCAGGGTCCACATGCAAAGAAATGTTTGTAACCAACTCCTCCATTCGCAAGTTAATCTTTTCATCGCAGAGCAGCTATGCAGGGGAAAGAACCGGAAGGGCTGGGGGCAGCCGGCCTCTTTGAGAGCCCTCGAGGCCGGCCAATGTGGGATCCACAAGGGGGAAAAAAGAGACTTTAAAAATTCCCAGCTCAACAGCTGGGCTCGAGTTTTTCTTGGCGCGCGCGCGTGTGAAAAGTTCAGAGACTCAAAAAATTAACCACCTACTTTCTCCCCTAGTAACTGTCAGAGACGCAAGGAGCGCAGACACAATGGGGTTAAGAGGTGAAAGCTTTTTACTTGGGCAGAGTCAAGACAAGGGAAAGAAAACCATTCATCTCTAGGAACCCCTCGTCTTCCAAACGAGGGCGTCCCCATTTCGCTCCAGAAGCATTTCCCGCGCTGGGAAGCCGAGCCAGGCGCCCGGAGGCGTCTCTCCGAAGCCGCAGGTCCAAGGCAGGGTTTCGGATCTGAGTCCCCAAATGCCCCCAATCCCCGCTGGCTTTTTCCGAGACGCTACTAGGTGCTAGGTAGGTTAGTGCGCGACCTGCCGTTCGCCTGTTTCTTCTAAAAGTTCTCCAGCTGGATTTCAGCAATTTAGGAAAAAAGGCGCCCGGCCTCTGCGACCTCCGGGCCGCTCCTCAGGCCTCGTGGGGCAGTTGGGTCAGGATCTGCGCGCCCCCCGACGTGATGAGAATTGTGTGCTCGAACTGGGCGGACCTGAAACGCGCAGGGCAGCGGTCAGGGCGCGCGCGAGCGCCGGCGGGGCCAGGAGCAGCAGCTCGCCAGCACCAGCGTCGTCGCCGTCGGACCAACCTTCCCTCCCCGCACAATTTAAACGCAACCGGGCAGAAAGCAAGCACCTTTGATTGTCCAGAGAGACCGCGGTCCACGCATCCTCCAGGACCTTGAATTCAGGGGATCCCTCGGTTATGATTGGCTCTGTAAGAGGGAAAATATTTACTACAGTCATCTAATCAGCTTCTTGTCAAACATTGTTTAGGCTGATTATCAAAAAAGAGAATAAGGCTCTCCTCCCTCCTCCCAAGTGCTCCCCCCACGGGTTCATGTTGTCAGCTCGCGAAGGGCTGATAATTGATGTTGCTTACATAGTATACTACAAACTAAACAGTAGGGAGAGGAAATGCTACGGCATTCAAAAATGTATGAAGTTGTCTAGTTCATAATTTTTTAGAGAAAAAAGGGCATTTTAATCAAGCCTTAATTAGGACCCCGTGGATAATAACCACCCAAACACCAGTCCCTCTTATAAATACCAGTCAGTTTTTAAAAATATTTGAATTTTTAAAACATGCTCTAAATGTTCATTAATCAGCAAATAACAATTTTCTTATTTCACTCTAATTGCTTCTCCATTAAGTCCCACAGTCAGAAACATGATGCCTTCAGGGTCTCAGGTGATTGGAATTTGGTGGTGACACCAATCACATGTTCAGCCAGGAATGGGCCGCCAGAGAGTACACGCCACTTGCTGTCAGGAAGCAAGGGACATAATCGTCTCTAGTTACTGGGTGTCAATGAAAAAAAAAAAAACCCACAAAAACAAAAAAACCGAACACCACATTACGCTGGTAACAGAATTAGAGGTTGGACAGCTGCCGTCTCCTAAATGTGTCAGTAAGTATCTGATTTAGGAAGATGGGGCTCAAGGATATTATTTAATCAGATTTAGTATGCATCTGAATTATTTCATTACACTGATTGGCTTTATTAGTCCTTCACGGGACTGCCTGGCCTAGGCCAGCGTGGTTGCTTCTGCCCTGGGAGCCACTGCTCTCTGAAGAGGAGGTGGGCACTGACCTATGGTGAATGCCATTCCCTCCTCCATGAGTAGATCGCTGTCATTCGCTGCAAAACAAAACACATGGGGGAAAGGGAGTGGGAATGGGAATTGGAGAGGACAGAGAGAAACACAATGAGAGGGGTTGGGCTGCTCCAAAAACTTGCTAATTTTATTTCTTTTAGGGTGGAAGGAAGGATGGAGGTTTCTAGACTCCTGGGTGGTGGCTAGCACCCAGGGGCTAAACACAGGGCTCCTGGGCCACAGCCTTTGCATTTTCTGGGCTTGGGGTCAAGGCCCCTGAGGAAGGTGCACCAAGGCCTAGCAGGGGCAGCCTGGGGGTTTTAGACACCTGTCTCGCTCCCCACCTCCACCGTCCCCTGGCCACTTGCTGCAAGCTCTCCTGGCTTCACTGAGTCCTGGGCCTTGCCCCCAACTCCACCCTAAAGAGAAAGACATCTTGGGGAACTGATGCAAAGGGAAGGCAGCCACCTGGGGTGTCAGATGGAGTAGGAGGCAAGGACAAGGGTGACTTCCAACAACTCCAAGTGTTGGTGCTGGGTGGGGCATATGCCGGAGAGGCACTTTCTACGCCCCTGCCTGGACCCTTCTGAGCTGCTTCAGGAGGGGCTCTTTGGCCCAAAGGGAGTTCTGACCTGCCCTGTCTCCAGGGATCTTCCAGGGAATGGGTTCCAGGCAGTAGTTCCTCCAGAAACTGCTCCCACCCCAAGCACTCAGGTCAAGGCCCCAGGACCAACTTTCCTTTAGTCCCTATCCAGGTGTGCACCCCTCTTTGGGGGCACTCCATGGAACTGCCTCCTACCCTACGCAAATTCCCCCACCTCTTCTGGCCCACACTTGCCTCTCACTGTAGGGTGCCCACAGGCAGTGAAAAACAGGAGGTTCTGGGGAAGGCACACAAGGGTGGGTACAATCTAAAAATCACTAAAGAGTACACGCTGCTAAATACATCAGCTGTCAACACGGTGTAGGATGTAATGAAGTTTAACCACAACAGTCGGCGGTTAGAGAAGCGGGCAGAAAAAGGCAAACAGACAACAGTGATGTGTGCATGCTGCTGGGACCTTGATGCAGCGGTATTTTGTTTTCAGTAACTTTTTCTAGACAAATATCCCCTATACCTTCCAGTTATCACCCTTTGGGAGAAGACAAAAAGCAAAGTAAACCTTATTTTGAGATTGAAACTGCTAGGCTCTAATCCAGTAACACAATAATGTGCAGGTTATGATTAAGTAGACCCCCCCCATGCCAACACACACACATATATATACACAAAAGGATAACAATGTGGAACCAAAGTTAGAGGCAGAGCCTCAGGAACAAAACTGCCTTATCCTGATTCCATTCAATAAACAGCTCTCAAATTAACTTTCTTACCATGATGCCAAATTTCTGGATGTCCATGAAAGTAAGATCCTATCCCATGTCCCACAAAATGTGGACAGACTTGTAAACCATTCTGATGAGTTATGCGGCTTTAAAGGTAACCAAACAAAATATTCAATTAAATTAGGTAAGTTTTGAATACATACATAGATAAAACAAATTCACTGTAAAATATGCTGGAAAAGAAAAAAAATCAGTTATGTTTAGAGTCAGATAAAAACAATATGTTTTCATTATTTTGGAATAATTTAAATTTTTTCCATTACTTGTAACAATTCCCTCTGGATAAATGAAAAAAAAAAAAAGTATGTATCTAACACAGTCATTTACTTCATTTACCTTAGTACAGCATGTAAAGAAGGCCACTTCTACACAACAAATGAATGTGGACACACAGATATAGAGATCAATATAACCAAGATACATGTGCACAGAATGCACATCATAAAAACCTGCCTGGTTTGCATGGGGTTTCACAAAAACACTGTGCAAATTACTACTGATTTAGAAACCAAAAAGAGAAAAATTTACAATCTAGAAATGTAACTTCCTACTTTTATAGTTCTCTTATTCTAGTCTATTTCAAAACATTATACATTTTACAAACAGGCACACTCACAAGGTCAAATCTGCTTTGTCAATATTCTTGAAACACTCCAAAACTTTGTGATCATTTGGGATTTCCACTCAAGACCGACACCATTAACAAAATTCATAATTTTATCAAATTATTCATAATTTTAATCACGGTGATGCTTAAGAGAAGCTAGTATTGTGATTCCCAATTCTTAATGTTTCAGTTGTTATCTCTACATGCAAATTTTGGGGGTTCCATCTATTCCATGTATGTAAATGAAATCTGGAACAATGACTCCAACCCTAAAATCTTCACCTACAAGGTTAAGAAGTTGTTTTTGGAATCAGGTGCACGTGTTTACTTCCGGGAGCACCAGAAAGACAAGAACACATATACCATTAACAATTTATATTTTCATGTGGGTGAAGGGCATAGTGCCTTAACCTTAATCATAACAATTATTGGGATTTACAGGATCACTATTTAAGTTCTTAACAAAACCAAAGTTCTTAAATCTCAAACTAGTTTTCAACAGACCCTTGGTTTAGTTTAACATGAACTCAAGGGTGTTTAGCCAGCATCTTTATGAGCATTTATGTCAATGTACTTTTCTTCAAACATTTTTAACCTTCATCTCTAGATCTGTAAAATATCTTCACTTAACCAGGATGTCACTTTATATATATATTTATATAGTTTATACAGCAGATAGGCAGCCTCTCATTCAGATTTAATTCACGTAAGTGATAGTGCAGAAATAAGTAAGATATGCATGTGCTGAGGACAAAAATGATAAAAGTCAACATTTTTATCTCTTAAATGGTACTTTATGGTTATGGTTATTTCTGTGTGTCTTTGCACTTTGGGCAGGAGGTATAACAACTTTTCCAAGGTGTTTCTATTTGCACTACACAATTTTTGAATAGAAACTGAGGATAGAGAGTGGATAGAGGGTGGAAGAGAGATTATTAAATAAGATATAATAATCTAGATTTTTTTTTACAAGAATAGGTTCTACCTAAACCTGTAAATTATGTCACTTCAGTCTCAACAAACCTCAACAATTCTGAGAGCACTGAATACAAACTGTTCTCCTAATTTCTTTTCTTAAAAAAAAAAGTTTTGGTTTTTTAAGGCTCTGATCGGCAGGCATCACAGCTACATCTTAAATGTGTTACAATGGCAATCTTCGTTTTAATTTCTGATGAGAAGAGAGGAAGAAAGCCCACTCTGAAAAAACCCTCAGGGTCCCTCCCCCATCATACCTCTCATTCTTCTTCGTAAAAGAAGCTGTGCAATTACTAGGTGGCTAAAGATATCTGAGTGCATTCTCCTACAACTATTTACGGCCGGGATCCTGCTGGAACTTCTGGTTGTAGGAGTATCATAGAATGTATGTGTCATGGATGCAAAGGTCAGAGGATTTCACAACCATGTGGAAAGAGGAAAAGAACAGGACAGACTTCCCTTAGTTTCTTGGTTGAGCACCCAAGGACTCCTAGGAGCTAAGTATACACTTCTGTCTGCTTTTCAGGGTATTTTCCCTTTGGATTGGTAGTTAGTTTTTTAACACATACTTACTGGGACTAAACTGGATAAAATCTCATTTAACGTTCTTAATTACTATTTAAAGCCATGCCTCTTCCCATGTATTTTTGGAATACATGGGATGCACAAGATTATTTACCTGATTCTAGGGTTTAAATCTAACTTCACTGAGACAATCCAACTGACTTGTAGCAGCAAATTCCACTCTAACATGAAAGTAAGTACTGGTACCTTTGACTGTGGCATGGGAAGGTGGAGCCTGTGTGCTTCTCTTGACTGGTGTTTTGGAAAAATGGAAACGGCTGGGTAGGTGGGGGTGCCCAAGAACTGCTGCATTGCTCCCCAACACCAGCCATCTCAGGGCCACCATCTGTTTCTGAGCACAAGGATCTTCTTGCCCTGGATATTTTACTGATGAAATCTGCCTTCTTTTTGCTGAAATCAACTGAAAAGAACTATCCTGGTATTAGCTCTTCTGTTCTGATTTTCTCTAACTAAAAATCCTCTAAGACAGTAAGACTCTTACCCATGAGCCTGAGCACGTTTATGATTAGAAGCCTTTCATATGGAGTATTTGGGGAGGGGCAGGAAAGGAGAGGAGGAAAAAGGTGTATAAAAGCAGTTTATGAACTTACTTTTAAGTTATATTGTATTATTACAGGTCATGTTTCAGTTATAGTTTATAGTTGAAAGAGAAATCTCTCTGAAGGAATTTCATCTTATGACAATTTTCTTCAGTTTAATTTCCTTTCATGAGGCAGTTTTCCTTAACTGAAGTACTGTCTAGATAAATTAAAATTCCTAATACATTTCAACTACATTTTATGACTAAGAATACATTCCCCAAGAGGGCAAAGCAGTACTACATTTAAGTACATACTCTTCTACTAAAGCAATAGAAATGCACGTGGAAACAGTTTTACTATCATTTTTACACGAACCCTATAAACAGCACTAATCTCTAAATGATCATATCTCCAACAAAAGGATCTCAAATGGCACCTGATTTTCTAAGTTAAGAAATTTTACTTTAATCTTTCCAGATTTTTATTTTAAGCAGTAGTCTTTGAATGAAGGAATGTACAAGTCCAAGGATTTCCTCTACTGACAAGGAATGTTGCAGTACAATTAGCAATATTTTTGAAAGCCAACAACTGTGTTCCAAAAGAGTTTCCAAACAAGAGTTTTCCAAAAATGGTTCACTTTTTTGTTTCAAACTGGATCACAAATTACTGTATTTTTCTTACAATAGTGCTAAACTTTTATTTGAGGTTTTCTGTTTCTGAAAAGCAGACATGATGGATTGAAATAAAAGATAATTTATTGCAATGCTTACTTTCATGTGCGGAGAGAAGCAGTGTAATTGTAATTTACAGTAGCTGTCAAGAAAAATCCATCACAGATGACATTAAAATGACTTATTTTGCCTGAGCCACTTATTGTTTAAATGTGCATAATCTAATAGAAAGAGATTATTTTTAAAAATCTGCTTTATATCCTTCTAAATTAATATCAAAACATATACTTATGAATCAAACATTAAAAATCATTTATTGATACTTTCATCATGACATTTACAAGTATAAGTTTAAATTATTTTTGATTGAACTGTCACATATTTGTGATGCATGAATCTACACATTCACAATATTCTCATATGTACAGATAACATCATCTAGAGATAATTACAAAAATACAGATTTAGATATATTTTAAAGCAAATGGAGGAACAGTGAGTACAAAAACACTGTAACCTGAAGATCAGTAGCCATCCCTCATGAAGCAAAGGGCACCTAGAGAACTCTTTTCATTAAACTATTTCAGCCAATACTTCTTCAGAGATATCATCCTATCCTCTAGGTTTCAGAGAATTTCAGGATTTCCTATAAAGATCACTAGGTTTTTGGTAACATAATGCTAATAAAAGATGCTTGAATGTTCTTTCCATGGTGTATCAGTAGAGGGAGGCTATGCAAAAGATGGTGAATATCTTAAAATAAACGAGACTGAGTTGAAAGATGTTTGTAAACCTTCAGTCTGTAATGATTCCAAGTACTTTTAGCTTAAAGATGGAGATTGTTTATTTACTCCCTTGAGATTTTGCCTGAATAAGAAAAGGCGAAATAATAGATGTCCAGGAACAGTGCCGTAACACATCAGAACAAACATTCGTTACAATTGGGGCCAGTTTCCTCCCCCGTGGCAGACATAAACCATCTAAATAATGAAATGTATTAGGGTAAAAGTAAAAAGTTCATTGTCTGTTATTTTCCACATAGTTTTGTAAGTGCAGTTGTTGGGACAGATCTGGTTTTCAAAGGAGCTTGTATATGCAAATCCACGCTCTGCAAAAACTGACCTTTGCATCCAGATAGCTAAAATCCAATGTCACTTTCAATTCTACTCTCCTTCTTCTTCTTTTTTTTATGTAGCTAGAATTAATGTAGTGAATATGTAATGAAATGCATTATCCTGCATGGAGATTTATCAGATTTTCCGACTGAATGCTATGCTTTGCTAGTACTAGCTGGAGTTCACCTGCATGTTGGTGTGGCGTGTGGCTCTTTTTTGTAAAGAGTTAAGTCGTACACAAAAAAAGGGAACAAAGGTCAGCACCCAGCCGCCACTTGAATGTGAGATTTTTCTTTTTATTCCCCTTGATGTATACTAGGCTCTGTGTTATTAGTCTTAATGATGGAAAATTGTAGTGTTGATACAAATCTTTTTTTCAAAGTAGTAGGCGGGAGCTCCATTTGTTAGTAAGTTTTTTTGTGACTAAAAGCCACGGACAGTACATTTATGTAGCAGTAAAAGGCCTAGATGCTCTTTCCATAGCAGAGCTAATTATTCCTACTGTGACCTTACTGATCTAGCCTGTTCCTAGTACATCTCATCTGCACGCCTGTTCCTCTGTGTAGATGGTGTCAGAGAATATGAAAAACCCTATAATGAAACCATTTTCATGATGGAGAAAGGCTACTGGAGTTGCACTTGCTACAAAGAGGCTCAATTATATGAGTAATTGTGATAATTTTCTACATTCATAGCCTTCAATGGGGAAAAAAGAATGAGAGCCACAAAGGAAAATTACTTTAACAAGAAAGTACAGAGAGTAAAAATGGAAGAAGAGACAAAAAGGGGGAAAAAATAACCAGAAAAAAAGTTTAAAAAATAGATCTGGAGGGAGGAATAGCGAGACAGGGAGAACAACAGAAATGCTCAAAAGCCCATGTGCAGCTGTGTTGCACAATTAAATTGAATTTTTTTTTTCTGCAGTTGATGAATGTGACTACTGCAAATGTGCCTCTGTAGTTAGCTATCATTTGTTGTTCCGTGACAGGAAAAGGATAATTACCTCTCAGAGAGAATCAAAGGCTGACATGCCCTTTAGACACAGCCATGAATGCAGAGCTCGATAGAATGCTTGAATAAGAATCCAGTGTTCTCTGCCCCCTTCTACTGAAGAATAAATTCTGTTAAAATGCAAGAGCACCACCAGTGAATTTGTTGAACCCTAGGTGTTCAAAAATATGAGGTACATCTATCGACTCATCCCATTTGCAAAAATATAACTGCATTTTGAATTCATTTCTATTATATTCATAGACAGTAAGATAGTGAGATATGCATTAAATTTCTTTTCCCAGTAGGGGTCTGATTCAACATTTCCTATGAAAGAACAGAGAGACACTATCCTTTTTTCCCAGGCTAGTTAGCCTATAATTTAAAACTGTCAAAAACACAATTTTGTTCAAAGTCTTCAATAAAAGCTTCTCAGATATAACCCAAAGAGATTTTACTAAAGTTTGATTCAGACGCTGTTACAATATTTTTAAAGCCATAAATACATTTAACTGATACTTTACTGCCTTTTTTCTTAGAGTATTTGAAGGCTTAAGACGAAAAAAGGAAGCATCTTTTCAAGGTGACTAAGCCTTCCATCCTTTAGACAAACGGGAAATATTCAATGGTTCATATTAATGACAACAGTACTTTAAAACGTACCGATGTGATCATCTTTAACAAAATGCATTACTTTTAAATGAAAACACATATTCTGCATGTCTACTTCAAAACAGTTACGGAAAAAAAAGATTTAAAGGTAGGGAATGGATTACAAAGAAAAGTCTTGAATTCAGGAAATACACATACACTCAAAAAGCAAGCATAGAATACTGCGTGAAAATAAACAATGATTTACAGAAAAAATGAGCCAGACGAAAAAAAAAAAGACAGAAGATCACCCTTTCAGGCTGTTTGCTAATCCGCTAATTTGAAAGGTGAGGCTTGCTTGAGTTAATGCTTTTTATCTTTGTATGATAGGAATATGTTTCACTTTATTCCTCTATGAAATTTATTCTCCTGTCTCATTATCCAAGGGTTTGGATGCTTCTCCACTTCTTAGGTACTTTCTTCCAAGTTTGGTCTGATTTTTGAGTAAAGGAACGCTACAGACCAACATGAGAGGGTAAAACTAAAGCAGTCATATTGCTTGCTGCTCCTTTAGGTTTCTTTGCTGACCCTAGCATAATTCACTTTTTCAAACCTTTTTTTTTTAAACCCAGGGAACAACATTGCAGCCTGGCAGTTCACATACTGATATCAGACTGAAATGATGGTTCTGAATCATAAAACATGTCATCAACTTTATACCAAGCCACCAATAACCTTTGTACCATTTGCTAACCCTTCCTTTACTTGTCAGTGTAAGGCTTACCTGATCGTGTTTCCAATTACAGAGAAGGGAGCCCCTGCTCTGCAAGCTGCAATTGCTTCATCTCTACACCTCCTGGCAACCTCCACCAATTTTTTACCACATTCATCCACATTGCCCACCAAAAATGTTTCAGAGGTGTCTCCATGGTAGCCATTGTAATAGACCTAAACACAGGCAGAAATTTTAAAATATGTTCTTGTTTAAAAATCTACTCTCCTAAACTATACAGTGTATTCATTTATGTGTGTAGTAGATTCATGTGTTTCTCCCTTCCAGAATTAATCTCAAGTTTACCTACAAAAAAAGAAACAGATATACTGAAACCTTACAGAAATTAAAAAGACAAAGCCATTCAATGATATTACAAAATTTTAAAGTAAATAAGTGACTAGTATGGCTATTTTGGCATTATGATCAACAATGCTATTATAACATTTTTATTCCTCACTTTATTTCTGAGAAGACACACTATATATGCAAAAATTAGTGATCAAAGACATTGACCCACAATTACTACAATAGGTTTAGAGAACCCAGAAGTATTTAACACAGTGAAAAGTTTCTTCAATGTCATGATGATACTTGATCTTTCATTTACCAGTTCTGTACTTGGAAATGATAGACACTGACAAGAAGAAATAAGATAGACATGTCCGTATTATAACAGACAGTAGGAGAATTTAGTTCTGGGAATTGAAGAGGCTCAATGTAGGAATGAAATATGTTATAGAAAAATCCTGTCGAGAAGTGAAATCTTAATCAAAAGTTCCAGATAGCAGAATGTTAACAGAAAACACTACACAGGGATTTGTTTAAAGAGTAGAATACTATAACAAAACAGGCTTAAGAATAAAATTGCAGAAAATATAATTTTATCAGTCTTCAATGATTCAAAAGGCCCTGTAGGATCTCTAAAAACATCAGATTCATCATAAAAATCAATAATTATCAAACACCATAATAAATATAGAAGGCCGAGGAGACTAGGTGAATACTGATCCTTTGATGTAGCATGAAATTTGCTATTTTGCATAAAACTGTCCTATGTAATTATTTTTCACATTTCTCTTTCTCATGAAGCAGAATACAGAAACTGTTATAAAAAAAGATATTTATCTGAGATTTCTGTCTGTTTTAATACCAAATTAATGTCTTAAATCTGTATACTATTCTGCATTTAAAAAATACTCTCCTACACTCTGAGGGGGAAGCAGGAAAGGTCTTTATTATATCTTCACTTCATAAGTCAGGAAACTGAGGCACAGAAAAACAACCTGTCTAAGGTTAGTGGCAGAATACAAACACAGATCCAGACTAATGTGATGGGTTACTGGCTTCCAATCGGGTGTTTTCTCTACTTTATCAAGTTACCTTGCAATATAGTATACATTTATTCCCATTTGCAATCTGAGAAAGTATAAGTTTTTATTTTACATACAAGTATATAACATTTGCTAAAATGAGAGTAAATATTCAAAAAAATTTGCAACTCAATGTTTATATAACTGCTACTTAAAGTAAAAATGCATTTTTAAAAATCTTTATTTGCCTTTTCATATTACTTTTTGCCAGCTTCCAAAATAACTACTTGAAAGCTCATAAGATATGGAAATATAATACGTTTGAAAGTCTATGTCAGGTATCTACAATTACTGTTTGTACCTACAAACTAGTCTTGCACTTCATTTATTTAACAAATATTTATTGAGCAACTACTATGGGCATTGCATTGTCTATTTTTTAACATTCAACTTTCAAGGGGTAAAGATATATACTAGATGCAAAAACTATGTAATGCAATCAGTATTTTCTCATAAAAAGTATAAGATCTAATAATGGAATCCTTCACTTAATAAAATATTTCATAAGAAATATAATTTGTTAAGAGATTAACCTACATGTTTCCTTGACTCCTTCACATTCCCCGACATTTGAAAATATTCCACTTTACTTTATGAGTTTTGCAATTTTGAAATTATTCGAATGTTAAAAATGGAATTGTTTATTAAAAGTCTTCAGGAAACTTAGAAAAGGCCTGGAATATTCTCTTTGGACACACTGGAAACAGTAGGGAAGAATATGTTGATTTCATTCAAAGCAGCAATATTTTGTTAAGGGGTGATTAGGTGAGATAATAAATGTAAGACCTACAAATCAGGTACAATCCAAAAGAAAAGTATATCATGAAAAAGACTTTGTTTCAGGCACACTTTATTATCATTAAATACCTCCTTCTACATGATTCTGAGTGGGAAAGGTACCAACAGAATACATGTGGAGCAAATGTTCAAATATTCCAAGTAGGACAAAATGATACAAGAAAGAGCATCAGCAAAAAAAGAATCTTTGGCTATATCCTCACACCGACTGATACAAAGAAAAACGGGAGAATTAATTGAACACTAAAAATCTCACTGAGCTCAACTATTGGATGCCAATTTCCACCTCATTCCCATTCCTACTTAAGTTTCATGGTCTGGATATAAAATAACTTAAGAATATTTTCTCGTTAATAGAAACTATAATCATCAGATGTATAGAATTTATTACAATCTACATAATCCAAAGGTGCTATTAAAAACTTTTCAGTAAAATAGACTGCCAAAGCACAAATAATCCACGTCCGAGAATAGTGGAAGGCTAACAAAATTAGAAAAGGTTAGAGCTTGTACAATTTGAAGGTCCTATGTTCAATTACTTTGGGTTGCTATTTAAAATAAAGGCTGTTAACCGTTTGGTGAAAATGTAAGTTCAGAGAGAAAACCACTCTGCTTGTGTGCTTCGAGTTCAAGGCTCTCTATGCCAGGAATGGAAGACAACGTTACCTTCAGGGATTTTAATAAATCTAAGGAACACTGCTAGCAAAAGAGTTGCTGTCCAAATAGACTGACACACACAGGCCAATGTAGCCCCTAATGACAGAGTAAGATAATGACAGGCCCCACTCAAAATCAGCAGGAAGAGGAAGATCAATCTTGGCAGAGTGAAGGAAAAATGCTGGCTTTCTTCGCGTTAGCTCATCTCATACATATCTAGCTTCAGCAGCTGCCCAGTGCTGTGGTGCTCTGCATTAACTACACAGTGGATCAATAACAATTACACCTTCTCAAAAACATGACACATAGCAGGATTGGGTTGACATTTCACTTAGGCCAACATTGATCTCAGTGCATCTGATTCCAGCCCTAAATTCAAGTCGGGCCTGGGTTTACTTGGAATAAACACAGAGTTAAAGACAAAAAGGAAACCAGCTGCTTGCGTCTGGGTCTAGAAGTAAACAGCACTTCCACTGGTGCAGTCCGCATTTTCAATCCACAATTCTTCCTGTTGCTACCAGCAATTCTGAAGTTGATCAAAGACTATTTTTTATATGATTTACTCACCGTGACATCAATGTTGATAATATCTCCATCCTGAAGAGGTCGACTGAAACATAAACAGAAAAAAAGTGGTGATAGACAGATCTCAATAAAAGGAATATAAAAATAAACACCTAATGACTACTACCACAAACCCAATGAGATGCAATGGTAATTTGGAGTGGAGGAGGAATAAATGGAGTAACTATATCTAATCTTTAAGTTATGTTAGTCACATCAAATTTTACAAGAAATACGTAATATGAACATATTACCATTGTTTAAAAATCTACCATTCTTAAAAAAATGTACTTATTAGTTACCCTAATTTTGCAAAGAGCCAAAACAATAGTTGATAACCAATATTGGCCTACATTTGGATTTTTACCATTTATATGATTAAAATCTAAAAAGGTAAAAGAAATATTTAATGCACCATGACTTTTTTGGATTATATACTGCTTTCACGAACATTAAATGGTGGTATTATGTCCATTTAGAAGCAAAATACTTCAAAATTTTTGTTTTACCATAATCAGCTCCAAAAGTTTGCAGGTGGGTTTCAATTAAACTACGGTGTCTCTCAACATGTGTTACAGATCTTAGTTTCATGTTTTAGTTTCCCAAGGAACAATATGTTATTAAGCAATGAATACCTGTCAGGAATACCATGACATAGCACGTTGTTTACAGAGGTACAAACAGATTTTGGAAAACCTCCATAGCCTAGAGGTGAGGGATAGGCATCATGACTGATGATTTCCTGATGAACAAGAGCATCTATCTCTTCAGTTGTCATGTCAACCTAAAATATTAAATAAAGAAATTATGGAGCAACAACTGAAGACATTTCCTGGATTGATTGACTATGCCTACAGCTACAGCACTTTCAGGTGAGACTGTATAAATTTACTATGATAAACTTATGGTACAATATTTTAATTAATTATGACTAACATTAAAATCCTAAATTGTGCCTTCTGACAGTCATTTGGGTACATGATGGTGTTATGGACTATTAGGAAATGAAAATTTTAAACTCTAAGATCCTTTAAATCATTTGTGAGTCATTAAATGATTTGACTTTCAAAAATATGTTCTTAGGCAATTTGTTCCTCTTTCTCAACAGTTAGTGCCCTGGGCTAACCGAAGCATATAAATAAATTCTCAAAAGGATCTTCAGTTTAGATGCACAGCTTGAAAAGGAGGTCAAACCCCACATTTTTACCTCAGCGAAACATCACATGGGTTTTGCAGCAATGGTATGGAGATTACGGATCACCTTTTTAAGAATTTAGTCTGATACATTTTGTAGAGGTTTGATTTCCACTAATCTTGATTTCTTTCATGCCTAAATAAATCAATATGCTTGTTAAAATATTTTTCCCTTTCTAGAAGGTATCCAATCGCTCCCAAACTAAAACTATAATTGAGTTTTGTGAACACATGAAGACTATCTCCATAAACTCATAAATCATAAGTAAAATTCTAAAACAAAATCTTTTATTAAAAATTGGCTATTTCTTCAGTAATTTTCTTTGTGTTATTTTATATTCACATTATGCTTGGTTACGCGGCTATAACAGGTTTATTACACAATGATACCCTAAGTGATTTCGTCGTTGAGTCTGACTTCCCAAATCCTGCCCACCTTTGGGAAACCACAGGCTCGTATTTTCTTTCATGATCTTTACATGGCAGGGTGTTTCAGATTATTCTGAAAGAACTAAATCCTGTAGTAAGATAGTTGTACATCATTCCATTGCTATATTACCTACAGCCTTTTGTATCTGGTCTGATCTTTCATTGCAGAGCTAATGCAAGAAAATAGGAGACAAAGGAGGAGGCAAAGAAACTCTTCAGACACACAGAAATCAGGTGGGGAATCGAAGCAGAAACTCCAGGCAGGAGGAAGAGGGCAAAAGTCAAAGCTGTCCGTCACTGATCAACACGGACAGGCTGACTGAGCCCAAAGTAGCTTCCGACTCCTACTTACAATTGAATTTGGATTTTAAATTATCTCTTGAATAAACATAAAATAATAAAATCCCTTCCCCCCACCTCAAGGCTTTACTTGATTTTTAACAAATTAGATGTGTACAAAAGAAGAGTCGAAGGGAAAGAAGAAAAAGGGGAGTAAGTCCTTTTGTAAGTTTGTAAGTATGTAAGTCCTTCCGGGGTTTGGTGAGACGCCACCTTCAAGCTCTTCCCAGCCAGGAGGAGGACATGACGGGCCAGCTGACAAGCCTGACGAAGCCCTTGAATCTGATCTTCATTCTTAACTTCTATGCTGTCTCCCCAGTCGGGTACAATGCCTGTCGTCACATAGTCTGGCTTCTTTATGTGCTTGAGGAAAAAGGATTGAAAACGAAGATCAGAACCCAGCGCACGACAATGGGATCATTTTTTCGGACACAGCCTCCTGCTTCATGGAGCTCTGCCCTTCCTGCCGGAGCACCGACCTCCAAAGCCAGCACAACAGACCCTCCAGGCTGCCCCGAGTTCCTTCCCCTGCCCTTTTGAACTTAACATTGCCTGTTAGTGCTGCCTTTGGACTGTCTGTTAACCTTACTGTGCTTTGAGTCAAACCGGACTGAAGTAGACTTCTGGTCAAAACAAACAGTAGTTTTCTTTTCTTCCTCCTCCCAACCCCGTTAGAAGCATATTGCCATTTATGAAAAATAGCATCAAGTTTCCAAATTGCCAAATGACTAATTAAGAGCACATTCATCTTCTTAACACAAAGATAAAATTTATGCAAAGGATAGCTCACAACACCCTCTCTGAGTGAACATATGTAAAAGGCGGACTGTCCAGTCCACTGAAACCTATTACATATACATTTTTCTTACACTTTGCAAATGTACCTAAACTAAGAAGGGACTAGAGAACAAAACAAAACAGCTTTCTTTTCCTAGTCTTTCTTTCTTTTAAGTACATAAAAAAACATCTAGAACATTTTACTTGTCAAAAACAAACCAAAAACTCCCCAAAACTCAAAACATTGAACTTTGATCCCCCTCGTAGAATATTCTCCACCACTCTCTTAAATCCATGGGCAGTATTCAGAAAATCAATACCATCTCACACACAGAGCTTCTTTCAGTCCCAAGGTTTTGCATAGCTCTTTACAAACTATTTATAGAAGCCGCTACATAAGCATTGTTGAAGAGTACCCAGTAAGGCTACACAGCAGTTGGGGACAGGAAGCTGAGGAAGATCACACTGTTCACTTGACATCACAGCAACTGCGGAAGGGCTGAGGTTAGGGCTCGGCTCTTCGTGAAGCGCATCACGCACGACTTAAGGACCCTCCCTTATTCCCATGTTCAGATGGGCCTTTCTGACACAGGTAATGCCATTGCTTGGGTTGCCACAGCTGAGCTCTGGACGGGTATCTTCTCTCCAACAGCTACACTACCAGTGCTCACAACGCTCACTCGGTCTCCCCATGGACTCTGTTCTTGTCACCACTCTGCTTTGTGATCTGGCCAGGTTACAACTACACGCAGAAGGGCAGTTGGATTGTCACTGAAATTCTAGAACAACACATTCACCTCTCCGGAGATTTCTTTTTCTTTTCTACTAAGGAAATACCAGGAACATACTCTGGGCTCCGGTGGCCTGTCTCGTCAGCCCTTGCCACAGAACTGGGCCACTCACCTTTAGGGAGTACAACATATTTAATGTGGGTTCACTGTAAAAAAAAAACACATAAAAGGGGGAAAGCAGGTGATCCTTGTGACAAATCTCTATTTCTTTCAGCTATTCTTGGTGTTCCTAAATGATCCACACACCTCTGTTATTTTGCATTTTGAAAAATGGATAGATTGTCTTTCCACAGAATTGTAATCTCTGAAAAAAAAATCAAGGATGCTCTGAGACAAGACATTTTATTTAATTTACTCTAAAGGAGGATTCAAAGACAGCAACATTAGTAATACGGAAAGTATAAGAGCAGGCTTTAGGAAAAAACATCTAGTGTATTAGTTTCAAGTAATCTCTCTTGAATGATCCCGATTTTATAGTTGATTTTTTTCTCTAAAAATGTTACGAAACTATATACATGTAGTTTTGTATTCACGTTAGAAATTTAATATAGAAAATTTCATGATAGAAATTTTAATTCTAAATAAGCTAGGCAGTTGTAAGCTCAGAGCTTTATTTTAAAAAAATTAATGTTTTACAACTGCAGGATGCTAAAACTTTTCAAATCACAATTTAAATCACAAAACAAATTTAAAAATTATGATTCAGATGGCTCACAAACCAAAGGTGCAAAAAAATTTGATCGCTTCTGCAGCTAACCTTTATCTTGGCTGGAAAAAAGAAGCAAATAATAGGCAATATCGTACCTTAGGGACTGGATGAGCTGAAGAAACTGCAGCCGGCAAAACTATACTGTGTGAAATCTCTCTTTGTCTCCGGAAAAAGAAATTTCTTCTTTGTTGACTGCTTGACTGCTTGTGTAAGTAGATATGATTGAGTGGTAAAGACAAAATTCTATGACAACCTATGAGCAGAAATAGACATATTTTAAGTAAAAAAACCTAAATGGTGCTACATTTTAAGATGTTGCATTGTCTGTTAAATCATTGTTCTAATCCTTTCTTGGCTCCAAAAGGAAAAGCCCCAAATAGAAAGGAAAGCAGTGGTATTCTGAGTTCTAGTACACTAACAGCATAGCATATTTATTAGCTAATACTAAGTTTACATAAATGTCTGATAATGGAAAACTCTACTCTAATGGGCAACAAACATTTGTGAACCACCAGGTCTGCAAAAAGAAGTTTCTGCTCTGGCACCTTATGCAGTCATGTCCAGGAAGACCTTAGATTCAGGGCATGGTTTGGGTGGCTTTATATTCTTTAAAGCCGTTTTCCTTTCAAGAATCATGGACAAAATTGCCAGCTGCACTTTTTGCCCTTGATAGGATTACTACTCTGTTAAGTTCACGTGCAGCGAGGTATTATACTGAAATTCATTGTGATGAATGCCCAAGTCAGATAAAGACTAAATAGCAAAAATCTAGGTTGTAACTTGGAAAGAAAACGAACACAGAGCCCTAAAGTACCCACAATAGGAATTTAGAAATATCTATCAAAATTTTAAAATGCACATATCCTTTGACTCAGCAATTCATCTCCCAGGACTTCACCTTGCAGATGTAATGCAATGATGGATGTATGAACATGTACCCTCACTGCAGCATTGCTTGTGGTAGGAAAAAATGTGAAATAACCCAAATGCCCATCAACAGGGGACTGGTTAAGTATAGTACTATGGTATATCTACACAACAGAAAACTATGGAGCTGTCAGAGAATAAACTAAATCATCTCTACATATTGATATGTAAAGACACCGCAATATATTGTTAGGAGAAAAGCAAGTTCTGAACAATACGCACAAAAAGCCCATTCATCTAAGAAGAGCTTATTCATTTATATAAGCTTTTATAGGCCTATAAAAATCCTGAAAACTGATATTCATCAATAGTGCTTATTTCTGGGGCATGTGACTGGGACTGGGGGTGGGGAGGAAGACTTCCTGAGTCATTTTATTCTCTTCTATACTGTTATTTTTTTAAAACCATTGATTTGTATTACTTATAATTAAAATAATAGTTTAAAAATTCCCCAACGTGTCATAACTGTATGTCAGAGGTTGGCAAACTATAGCCCAAAGGCCCAATCTGGCCAGCTGCCTGTTTTCACACAGCCCAACACCTAAAGATTATTTTTGCATTTATAGACTGTTAGAAAAAAGTCATAAGAAAAACAATATTTTGTAATAAGTGACATTATGTGAAATACAAGTTTTAGTGTCCCTAAATAAAGATTTATTGGAACACAGCTACACTCAATCACTCACAATTATCTATGGCTGTTTTTGAGCCACAGTAGCAGAGAAGTTGTGACAGAGACCATATGGCCCATAAAGCCTAAAATATTTCCTATCTGGCCCTTTACACAAGAAGTTTGTCAACTGCTGGTCTAGATCACTGGTTCTCAGAACCTGGTACCCAGACAAGCATATCAGCATCACATGGGAAAAAGATGCAAGTTCTTGGGCCCCTCCTCAACCTACCGAATCAAACCCTGGGATGAGGCCACCAGTCTGTGCTTTAACAAGTCCTCAGGATGGTTCTGATGCACACTAAAGTTTGAGATTTACTGGCCTAGAGTAACCTTTCAGCTGTGAAACATAATGGAAACACAAATTGCAGGTGAGTACTGGCCCCAAAACTCAAGATCTCCAAGTGAATTGAAAAAAGGCACAGAGGCAAAGAAACCCCAGTGGGCAGTGAGTCAGTGTCATAAGTTTCACTCAATTAAGTTCTTCCATAAAGTTGAATTTACATAACGTGTTGAATCAAATGAACAGAGGTGTTTTGGTATTATTTTAAACACTTCCAAATACCAGACAAAATGCCAGTAATATCACCTCTTTTAAAAATAAAAAGTTGTTCGATAGAGGCAGGTATGTATTCCCTAAAGCTTGTAAAGTATAGTATTTCCCTAAAGACAACACCAGCAGCCCTAGGACTGTGAACTGGTATTTGAGGGGCAGGGTAGTACCCTAGGGAAAGCACATGGTTGGAAAGCAGAAGCCTGGACTTTCATTTCAGCTCTACCACTTGTTAGCTGTGTGACTCTGAGCAAGTTTCTTCTTTTGAGTCTCAGGTGGGAATTAATTGGAATACGTGAAAAAAGCATGTGAAAGAATGTGAGAGCACCTTGCATTTAACAGATGCCCAGTAAACAATGGTTCCTTCAAGAACACTCAAAAAGTAAAATGAGCACTTATTCTGTGTCAATTACTGTACTAAGCACTTTACATATGTTAGCTCATTAATCTTCACGAGAATCCTATGAGTTGTGAACTGTTAGTACACCATTCCACAGTTGAAGATACCAAGGTACACAAAGGAAAATAACTTCCCCAGGGACATGCAGTATGTGCCAAAGCTGAGGGAAATCAGGTCGAGTTGCCTCCACAAAGTATATTTCTTCTCTCATATGCAGAGAAAAAATGAGCTCACACACATGGAAACACCTAAAAAATGTAAAAACTATTAAAAAGTTACTACTATTATTATTTTTCCAAAAGCGGTGATGGGTTGACCCAATCCATCCACTGTCTCAAGCCAAGCTCCCTTTGCTGACCAAACACGTGCTTCAGTGAGGTGGCTGAAGAAGTTGGTTGGGCAGCCTGTGGATATGGAATGGAAAATCTGGGACCCAGCTAAAGTACAGGGAAGACTCAGGTGGAATCAGTCTATGACTCCAGGGGTGGTGGGGGTGGGAGGGCGCTAACTGCATTCCTAGGTAGGACCATAGACAAGACACAAACTCACAAGTGTTTCCATTCTGAGGAAAGTATGTATCATGATTACTATTAATAATGATAACACTAATAGAAACAGTAACAATAGTGGTTAACATTTAATGGCCAATTTCTTTGATTAAGCAGAGTGCTAAGTGTCTACATACATTATCTCTTAGCAACTCTGTCAGGCAGGCTGGCAGCAATTGACATCACCATACGGATCAGGAACTAACGCTCACACATCAATGGCTGGCCCTGGCTCGAGTCCTCCAAGTCTAAATCCAGGACTGTGTCTGCCACTGAGAGTGGCCTCTCAACAGAGTGCAGGGGCTCTAGCAGCTAGCATGCTTTGCTGTAGAATGTGTTCTTTCAGGGATTGGATTTTGAGGAGGTTTTTTTCTGTTTTAATCATGAAAAAAATATCATGGAACCAGCCAACATTTAGAATGAAGGTGATTTTCATGGAAATTCTTAGAACTGATCTAATTGGGAGGCATTATGGTAGTAAAAACAGCATGAGCTTTGAAGCCAGACAGACCTGAGTTGCCAAAACTTCTGAGCCCCACTTTCCTCACCATTACATGGCAATAGCAGTGCTTTCCTCACCACTAGGCTGTTATGAACATTAGCTGAGATAACAAATATATATGTAAACCATCTTTAGAAAGTAGGTGCTCCATAAACGTTCATTTCTTTTCCTTTCCCTTCTCGACTCTTTGTCATGTTTACCTGTGGGCCTCTGAATTTACTTATTCTTTTATTCAACAGTACTTGCTGAGCTCCTCCTATATGCCATACTCTGGACACAGAGTGAACCAGGTGACAAAGTCCCTGATTTCATGGAGTTTATAATCCGTGGTGGGATGCAGACGAGAAGCCAACCAACAAATACATTAGATTACATCAGACGGTGATACGTGTGATGAAAAACAGCCCAGAGTGACACAGTCTTGGATGGCATCTTGGAGCTAAGGTTCTGCTGCTGGTCCTGCCAAGAGCTAACTGGGCGAGCTCGAGCAGCAACAGTAACAGTGAACACTGGCTGACAGCTTCCTGGTGCCAAGCTCTGTGCTGAGCACCTCACAGACACTGCCCACTGATACAAAAGGCTTATTTAGTAAAATGAGGGAGTTGGGCTTCATAATCTTTGAGGTTTCTTTCAGCTCTGACACTTGTGCCTTCATGCAGCAGCATCTGATTGTCATGCTACATTCCAGGCAATGGGAATGATGCAGACTTCGATCAATTTCAGGACTCATGAAGATTTTTTTCAGAGTGCCTGATTACATGACAGGGAGACCATCTTCATCAGTATTATCAAGTTCAAGCACATAGTCATTATAGTGGGAATCTTTCCTATGTACTTAAACTTGAGGCATGAAGTTATCAGGCCTCTACTAGGAAACCTGGATGAGGCTTTTCAGTCACTCACTTCTAGGATGAACAGCTGCCAATGTACCTGTCCTGCCAAATGAGGGGCTCACAGTTGAAACGATGCAGGCACACCCACACATGACTTAAACATCGGGAACACAGTCTGAACATCTCCAATCTGTTGACAATTACGGTTCTGCAGTGTACTCAGCAATTCCATTTTCATAAGATACTTTTTTATTTGAAGCAAAATCTTTTCTTTCAATCTGATAAAAGACACCCTATAAATGTTGTCACAAAGTAACAGGATAATAAGGTACCATACCGTGTTTATTCTACTAACTATTCATTACAAACCAGAAAAAAAATCTAGCGTTTTCACAGGTGAAATGAAGAAATGGGCTTAAGTCAATCCATGCCTTTAGGAGATAATGGTTCTGCAATTAATGTGGCAAAAGTGGGGGGAGGGGCAAGGTCCTCAATTTTGTTTATCATATTGTAATTAATAAATAGTAATTAACAAATTTTCTAAATGCAGGTGAGCAAAATGAAAATCCCCAATCCCAATTATGTTCAGTCACAGGATAACCAAACTAGAGTATCTGCTACAGATCATTCTAGAAAAGGTTTATTGAGTTTTCTATATATTTCCTTTCTTTATAAAAGCATTGCTTTGTACACCTAAAACTAATATAATGTTATACGTCAATTATATCTCAATTAAAATAAATACATAAATAAAAGCACTGCTAATACTTTATTATAACTACATCTAACTTCCAACTTGCTACCGTCAATGTTACAGGTAACTTGACCCATCATCAGAGGCAGAGATACCAGCCAGGTTTCCATCAGCCACAGGACTGGCCTCTCTGTCTTCTGGGCACCATCATTTACCCAGAATGCACAGTATACCCTATTTTGTTAAAGCTATTTTCAGGAAAAAAGGTTTAGGTGTGTACTAATTATTGCAAGGGACAAGTTGACTAATCTGAAGTTTAGGAGATACCAGTAGAAAATCATCAGAAACATCAGGAGAGTAGGAGAACCCCAGATGAGCAAGGAGCTGCTTTGGACTAACTTGATCTTAAAAGACATGATCATAGCGAGTGTTGTCACTGTTGATTATGCAACAGAACCTCTACATAGGGTTTCCTTAGGCAGTAAAGCTACACATTATTTGTTATGAATACTAGTTTATTTACTGTTTTCAAAGGCAATAATAAGAATTATTTTCAGCGTCACAAAAATTCTATCAGCACCTAGTTTGAGCTGAATGTTGAAAATTACAGGCAACCGCTTCATTCAGTCCACAGAGGAGCACACTGTACGGCGTGAATGTCTTCTGAAATTGGTGTATATGCTCTGGATCCTGAAGCACATTTTTCATATTTTAAATTTGTATTTGAAATGTAAATCTAGGTTGAGCTTTTAAATATTTTCATATTTGGTAATAACATCAATTTTTAAAAGCTGCATTCTATTTCCCTTTACAGATTAAGTCTGAAAGGTAGGATTACAGAATTCCAGTATGATGGAGGGAAGCATGCATTTTAAATAACCAATGTTGCTGCATGCAACATGCCCTGTATTTATTGGCCTCTTACTCAGGGTCCATTTTAATTGTTATCTACTCAAGCATTCTATACCACATAATAAAACGCTTCCATTTCACCCACTGAGCCCTGGGTTTTTATGCACACCTCTACTAATGACCCTTAATTAAGCCAATTTTACTCTTGAAAATATGAGTTTTCTTTTGGTCAACAAGTATTTTTAAGGGAAAGGTCTGAATGAACTTTCAGAGAGACATTTAAAATGCTTATTATTTTAAGCAGTTGTAAAACTGAACAAAGTATATTTGTACTCAAGTGTGGGCTACCAACACCTATATTTTTCATTGTACATTTCCAGGGAAGCACTTCCCCCTGCAGGGCCATCAATCCTCAGTTATGTTACATTTCAGAGGTATCAAATATCTGGGTAGAAAACAACACAAGAAAGCAGCCTGTACTACTTTACATTAGCTAACAATATCAACCAGAGATAATATGTAATTTAAAAGACACCCTGTAAAATATCTTACTGAATATATTTTTTCATAATGATCAGTAAATGCCAAAGTCTAGTAACAAAACTATTATTTATAGCATATCAACATCTAATTGATTTCACAAATGGAGGCAATTATTTTGGATGAAGGGAGGAATGCCTGCCAGATTTAAATGATTTATGATTACTAAGAGAGAAAACATCGTTTTGCTAATTCATTTTCAAATACGGCTCATACACTCATTGATAATTTTAATTTCAAACCAAACGATTTGCTTAAATAACACATTAACTTTAAAAAAAAGTAACTTTGTGACAGCAAACTGAGGGTATTTTTAACTGTTTATAAATATTGTTTCCTACAGTAGGCTCAGAAGGGACTGTACTACAGAAATATATTTTTCAGGTGCTGATTTAGAACCACAGAAAGATCACA